TCTCTCTCTCTCTCTCTCTCTCTCTTAAGGAACTTTTATATAAGTTATGAGGATATAAGGTAGTTTTAGTATGAACTGTAGTTTATTTTATATTTGTATTCGGTAAGCTTGAATATTAATAGGGTCCACTCGTGACATTGCTCTCATTTAAGAAGTATTGCATCTTTTACTTTATTTTTATAATTTCAATTACTACTTTCTCATGTATTTTCATTAATCACACCGTTTTATGCAAGAGCATAGGCCAGAATTATACTATTTCTATCAACATCCAATTCGTCAGTTTGAAATTTGCGACAAATTGTAAGAGATTAGGTTTCACTTGGACTCTCCAACAGCTGAAACAGGAAAGCCAGCTTTAATTCAAAACTGCTGTCAAGAATTATGCATGCAATTCAGATTGCAGATATTCTTAGTTTATGACTTCGTTAAAATGAAGCTATTTTTGAAAGCATCAAATTAATTTAATATTTAATTTTGTGTGACAGTATAAATTCAATTATAAAATTTCCATTTCCAACGAAATATGCTCCTTCACACTTGGCACTTGGCACGAAGACTACGGAAACTGTGCACAGTTTCGAGATATAGAAGCAGAAATTCGTCGTACAAGTCCTGCCCGAACATCTCAGTTACGTGTATATCAGAATAAAATGCGTACATTTGAATGAAGAATGAATACTTTTCCAGTTAACACTAAGACTTTTGCCACTCCAAGGACATAGGCTTTTCAATTTAAATGCAAATTAAGACTTTTGTCAACAAGGCTAGGCAACTTAGTCAGACTAAAGAAAAATAGTTTCTTATCAAAGAAAGTGCAAAATATTATAAACCATAAAATGTGCCTAAATTACACTGAAGTTAATTTATTTTTAAATAATAAAAAAAAAAAGAAAAATGAGAAATAATCCTTTGTGCTCCCTGCGCTTTTATTATGATAATATTTTTTCATTAAATAACACAAATATTGTTTCCACCCACATAGCTCCAAATCCAGTTCAAAAATGCGGTGATTCTAGTATTGACGCCGACGGCATAACGAGTGCCACAAGTACGTCCGAAACTTATGATGCCTATGAGGTACATGCGTGTCTGCTTCTGTATTACTGGACCACCGGAGTCATACTGGCAGGAGTCTCTTCCCGTACCGCTGTAGTCATAAGTGCAGATCTGCGAAGGTAAAATGGTGGAATTGTATTGTATTTGGCAGGCCCGATTGTCCATCGTAAGTAGCTCTGCCTTCTGCAAAGTATTGGACTTCGAGCCGGCGAAGGTAAGTGTACCCCAACCAGCAACATTAACATATAAATACGTAAAAGACTCCGCTCTGAGGAAGAAATCACAAAGTATTAATATAACTATATACGAGTAGTAAAATACATATGAAGCAACTAACGATTGTCGATATGGCAGGCAAACCGGTCCAACGCCTCGGGACCATTCGATAATTCGACTGGTAACCAATAGCGCGATGTCATTAGCAACTGCTGCGGAGTTGGATATGTAACCTGGATGCTGTATAATTTGTTGAATGTTATACTGAGCAGCGAAAGCCGATTCTGTAGCTAAAAAATAAATTAATTGGAAGAATGCAGAATATATGGTCAGCTCACTTACTACTACTCAAATCGTGGTCACCCGCATAAGCCATTATTCTGGATGGATCCCGATGAGTACTCGTGCAATGTGCAGCCGTTAGTATGTGCCGATGGCTAACTGAATGTAGAAATGAAATAATAGGTCAGACTTGCGTACATAGAAGTACATATGGCTTCAATTTCTCATAATTATTAAAAAAAAAAATGAATTTGACAACAGATATTAACTAAGTTGAAGGTGTTGAACTTAATAGAATAAATAGTTTAGATAAATGTTTGTTATTTAATATCGTGAAATAACACAAAATGTCTCATTATTTACACAACTTGAATTTGGTTTTGGAAAAAATGGGCTTTTAGCTCTCAAACTTATGAATATCTATATATATATATATATATATTAATTTTATTTATAATTATTTGAATTCAGTTAATCAACTTTATGTCTCTTCATGGATATAGACGATATAGACCTTTAATTACTATGCTTCATGCTTTGTTTTAACAACTGAGTGAAGTGGGCCTATTTTCAAAGAGAGTAGTAATAATATTAGAAACTCCAAGGATTTAATTATATATTCATCACAATGTTGCTACTTTGATTAATAGATAAACCATATAGGAACATAGTCGATTTATTCAGTTTATTATTCGATTTAGTCGATTTATTATTCAGTCTACTTCAGTTTTCAATTCTCTCGAATTGTACTTTCAGTATTTCGTTAACCGTATTATTTTCATCGTATTATCTCCTGAGTCCTGTCTATTAATTTGTGGGATTTCTTTATAATATCCATATAATAGTCATTTATAATATCGCTACATAACATAAGTTATTTTTCGCATATTGGATCAAAAATTTACTTGAGAAATCATTTTTCGCAGACTTTTAGTACAAATATGTACGTTTTGATATAACAGGATCTTTGAAGGGAGCTTGACTATGTGATTATTATTATTTTAATAAAAGGAGGATATTTTATCGCTACCTTCAAATCTATTGTGCTCACAACTCGGACTTACAGTCACTATTGATTCAATAAATAGTAGCACTTGTACTATTTTTTAAAGTTTTACTTATCATAAGATGTTGAGTATCCATCCAAGGATTCCAAGTAACTTTGAAGCTAATAATTTTCTCTCTTTTTGTGTTCATATGGGTACTGGACCTGCAAGCATCGATCCTGCTTTTTTATTTAGTAACCTGAAGAATCCCAAATTGATACCTACTTAACTCGGACTCCAAGAGTTCATATGTGATTATTTCCACCTTTTCAACACATTCAGCTTTGCTAAGCACTCTATTTTCTTGAGATTTAAATTTTTTGATAGTTGCCTGATAGTCTCTCAAGATTACTTTTCTTTGGTTTCGTTACTGATTGATTCTTCGTATACAAAAGGACTTAACAATATGAATGTGTTTTGTTAATATTAGGTTACAGAAGAGGAAATGTGCGTTCTCCGATAAGTGTCATAGCAATAAATGAACTACTTGTTCAAGTTCCCATAATAAAGACCACGTAGTACTAACAATCTATCTGTTATAATTGAAACCTTATCAAGAGAAAAATGTTGATTTATACGAATCATAAATGAGATTTTAGTATGAAAGTTCGATGAAACTCATAATCTGTATTTAAATGAAGTGGAATATTTGTACGTACTTATATTGCCACCACAAAAAATGAGCTGTGGAGATGTGATATCGCGCAAAGCAACCATAGATGGATATTCATGCTTGTTAGCTTCCTGCCCATTTGTGATCCTGGGTGTAAATGACCAACCACAATCACAGGACTGGGGTCGTGTTATTGCTTGACAAAAGAAACGTCCACGTAAGTTCGTTGTAGTTGCTATTGAAGAATAGGCGAAGGTTATAGACCGGAAAAGTGAGGTGCGTCTAATACTGCCACTGCTGCAAAATATTTCGGCATCCCGATATTGAAAATCCCCATCACGAGAGACGTAAAAGTTTTCAGAGCCACATGAATTAGGATACTTCAGAGTAAAAAAAGTGAAAAGTGAAGGGAAAAGCTTGATGGTTGGTGTTTAGGAATTCACTTACCACTTCAAACACGCAATTAAGTATTACCACGTGGTCCAAAGGCGCAAGTATTTTGTAACGGCAACTACTACCTGGCGTATATGCATTCGGATAGTTAGGAGAGGTTATATTGAGCACCTGCTGTGTAGAGTACATCTGATACTGTTGTGGTCTGCATTCCTGAGCAGTTGAGGTGGTGAAAAATAATAGCCACAGATAAATTGCACTAATTACTACATGGATAAATAAAATGGGTGAGATATGTATCTCAAAACTAGAGACTAACTTGTATTCCTTTTTAACTATCAAACTCACTTGTTCGTGTTTCCGACTTCATCTTTATTATTCAGCAGAAGAATTCAAACTAAATTATTTTTTGGTATTTTGGTAACTATAAGACTTCGTATTAAGTGTATGTTGCGAAATTTAAGCTTCATTAAAATTGCGTCACTTCATCCATTGGCTGCAATTTACACTGTCTTATTTACACACAAACACACTCATAAACAATATCTCGACTTCGGGAAATTAAACTCAGTTATCATAAAACAAATATCTTTTTATTTACAATTTTATTGCCCAATCTTATTCACATTTCATAAAAGTATTTTTTTATTCGCTTCCAGTCTACATAGTAACGATGCACGAAGTATATTGGATGTTAGCATTTATCCATGCAAGATAAGACGTAATGCGCGTGTTGATCCCTGTAGCATATCCGCCTTGACCGCAAATGTTGCCGAAACTGATGCAACCCAATAAGAACATGCGTGCACCACGTTTAATAACGGGACCGCCCGAATCGAATTGACAGCTGTCGCGACTACTTCCCGTATAATCATAAGTGCACATCTGAGATGTAGAAATCGAAACACCCTGATAGGCTTGCTGGCATGTATTCTGATCCAAGATCATTAAGTTTACTTTTTGCAATTTATTGGAAATAGCTCCACCAAAGGAAATCGTACCCCAGCCGGCAACGTCAACATAGTCATAGTCAAATGTGTCATAACTGTAAGAGAGTGAAATCGAGAAACGACGATAAGAACTGTGATTGACTCTGCTAATAAGGAAAAATAAGTGGGAATGAGTTTTATTGGAGAGTGGTATGCAACAGAGAACTTGAGGAAAACAAGATTAATAAGATTAATACATTGTTGATACATGTATTTCTTCGTATGTGTATATATAAGAGAAACATGATTCTGATGCTAAAGAAAAAGTAAAGAAATATAGGCTGAACCGAAAAAATGTGTTTGTACTTGGAACCCTTATAGGATGGGAACTATTTTTGTTTAATATGAGGGAAAAAAGAATAATTTAAGTAGCAATAAAATTATTAAGTATGAATATGGGGTAAATATTATATATAAAAACGGATGGGTAGAAATATATACAATACACAATCAAAAAAAAAAAAAAATTAAAACAAACACAAAACCACTTGAGATTTTAAAGAATGGAATTAAAAGAAAAATATTTGTTTTAAAAGCTAATACCAGAGTCATCCCATATACTTACGCATTCGCAGGTGGTGGTAAACAAATGGGTCCGACACCACGTGACCATTCTATGGGTTGAACAGTTCTCAGAAGTGCAATATCATTTGATACTGGGTCCGATGTGTAACCGGGATGCTCTATGATACTTGCAATAGCATATGTTTCTGCATATCTTGACTCGGTTGCTATTGAAAAGAATGATTAAAAAATCTACTAATTGAATATAAAAGCAAAAAATTACAGGATGAAAGATCATGGTCTCCAACAAGTGCCTGAATTCTGGAAGCACTTGGCTGCTGTCGAGTACAGTGGGCAGCAGTTAGTATGTAATAGTGAGCCACTAAATAAGAAATAATATGTAACAAAGTTTATATATAATACAAAACTTAACAATGAATCCAAATAATAAAAAGACAATAATATAAATATATTAATGATCAAAAGCTTCTAAACATACCGATTGAACCTCCACAGAAAAGTGGTAGATTGGTGTCAAGGTCCTTAAGTGCCACCATGCCTGGAAATTCGTTAACACTTGTTTCTTGACCATTGACAATTCTTGTATTCACGGACCATCCACAATCGCAGGCTTGTGGTTTAGCATATAAATCACAAGAGAAACGACCCCACGATCCGTAGGATACGTAAGCCATGGTGACTGAGCGAAATACAGACTTTCTAACAAAAGTTCCTTGACCACAGAACTGCTCAGAGCCACGCAATTGAACATCGCCATCACGTGCCAAGTAAAAAAATTCTGTCGAACATTGATTTCCATTCTACGATAAAGTTTGATCAGTTTCGATCCCATGAATGTATGTCGTTTTATTCTATTAGAATTACCTTGTCGGTATCAATAGTGCAGTTGACTTGTATTTCATAGTCCAGAGGCGCTATGAACTTGTAACGGCAGGAAGTACCTGCGGGATAATAACTATCATAGTATGGAGATTGCAAAACCGATTTGCCGGCATTAATATTGTATTGATGATCGCATCCATCAAATAAAGCAGCTTCAATGGTGCATATGTGCGCAAATAAAAACGTGAGTAGCAACAGCAGGCTTTTTGCTATATTTAAGAACAAAAATATTATACATATATTCATATATTATATAAATTTAGTAAATAATTGTGAAGAAACTAATTTAGCTTCAAATGTTGCTTTCGTTATCATTATGTGGGAGTTATTTTATTTTGAACTAAAGAACCGTTTTTAAGACTGTTTGTTTTGTTTTTTATTTGAGGGTTGGGATGTGAGTAGTCAGACCATTGTGACTAAACCCAAAAACAGAAAGACTGGAAAGAGGTATTAAACAGAAAAGACAATAAGAAGAACTTCTTAATTTCTTTAATGAGGCTAAGAGGATTGGGTAAAAGGATAGGAATGACTATAAGACTGTTACAATTCCATTTAACCATATAGATATGGGAATAATTACTTTTACAACTGACTACGGTATTAAACATAATATAGCGATAAGAATTGATATTGAGTAGCTTTACTTTTTGGTATAATATACATGTCCTCGATATTCCCTAAATAATAAGAGTCTAAAGATATGATAACGTTGTTGTAGTTGTAGTCCTTAAATATATAGATATTGTTTTACTTCAATAGCACAATTGCAGGTGCAGATAATCTCGGAATACTTATAAAATTTACGTACCACTAACATGGTTAGGGGTCGGTATTTCAATAATTCAAATCCGTCTTTTAAATTAAAACTATTTCCTCCGACTGCGGATAATTTAAATGTTATTATACTTTGGATTTCATTAAAGAAGAATACTCCATGCGTAAAACAGAAGTTTTAATATAGTTCTGATAATATGAACTTCGAGTTGGTTATCTGAGCACCTTCTCACTATAGTCTGGTCATGTGGACACATGATAATATCACGATCAGTTTCAATCGTGCAAATGTACTACTATCTACAAGTAGTGATGGAGTTTGTGTTCTAATTTAAATTTCAGTGCCTTGTCGCATAAAGGCAAGCTCTTGATCTTCATGTATGCTAAGTCCATCTACCTCAAGCTTTTTTTTTTAATTCGTAAATAAAATTATTTGTTAGGAACTCCCAAGGATAATGAAGATGATATATTTTCACATTTTTTAAGTGTTGTAGTTTATCGAAACTAGAGAGCTAGAGAGATATACAGCAAAATGGAGTTAGCTTGTGGAGGAAGTCAAAACCCATTGTGGATTCTTGTGCAGGGAAATATAATGATGATTATTCTAATTATTAATTATTTTTATTATTATTATTTTGATGGAATAAATCTCATATTTAGCTTCACATTTATATACTTATTTATAAAATTATTAAATTGAATAAAATGATTAATTAAAATTTTTATATTCTTCACCAAAACTTCAACTTTGAATAGGAATGGTGATAAGATAGAAGAATTTTAATTTCAACAATTTATAAATAATACATAGGTAAATGCAAGAATAAGTAAAATAGTCTACAATAAAATGATAATAAATAAATTAAAAAATATTAAAGCAAATACTGCTTCTTAAATAATACTTTTTAAAGCAGATGCTTTTGCTTGGCCTATTGCTTTATACAGAACTTTTAATAAAAAGTCAAATAAATAAATGTATTTATTTATTTAATTTTAATTATATTTTTTATTGTTTAATAATATATTTGTTTTAATACCGTAAGTATATATACAGAGGTTTACTAAATAGTTTATTTGCGAATTTAATTCTTCAGTTTTTAAGTGCTGTTAAGTGGCAGTTATTTCGTATGTGATTTATTAAATTATTTTAATCAAAGGATTTTTTTCTTTTTATAACCGCTATCTAATATATAGTTTTTTTAATCTAATATTTATTAATATTTATTGCAATTTCACATATATTTGTATACTCTCGCATTAACATTTTAGCTATAGATCACAACCACAAGATATATTCAAAATGATCACAGTTTGGTAATGAAATATATTTAAATGAAAATTAAAAATTTTATATATTAAAATTAAATTAAAATTATTCGTCAGTAGATATTTTTATTATTTGAGTTTTTTTATATTTGAATTAATTTGGATTCGAAAGCGGTTCACTTAATTATTCTGTCACTTTTGAAAGTATTCGTCTTTATAGTTTTTACTTTTATTAGAAAGGATATTTTCTTTGTTCAAACACTTATTTTAGCACTTTTTAAATAAATTGATTATTTATAAAATATTTCACAAACCACTGAAAGCAGCCGGAAGGATTTCCAAACCCGACATCTTCTCTAATTAGACGCTGACAGACGTCGACTAATAAGATTCACTGTAATTTCAGCCGTTTTAATTGTTTAGATACGAGTCAACTGAACAGTCAGCAAAACAGACTATCTATTATCTCAAAGTACGAGGAAAAGATAATAGAAGTATAAATGGCTTTTGGAATTTACTTTAAGCAGGTGATAATACGAGAGATATAAATTAAAACAAGAAAAAAATTTAATTTATTTAAAACACCAAACGAAAACAAAATTATTTAAATATAATAAACAACCACGAATCTTGTTTATTCTTTAAAAGTATCTGAATATTTTTTTTTTTTATTTTTCCAAAATGTGGCACAGATTACTTAGAGTTTTTTATTTCTTCCTCTTAGTGGAGTTCACCGTTGGAAATTTGCCTGCGAATTGAAGAAGGGCACACTTTTGCGGAGCTTTTAAACCAAATTACTTAACTAATCGAACCTCATTATAATTGCAATATTCAATTATAATAAAAATAAAATAAAATAAAAATGAAAACTGATATTAAATAAATTGCAAATATTTTCTGTCTTCCGTTTACGACTTCTAATATTCTTATTTATTGTTCGGCTGTGTCTTCGCATTTTTCAGCTTTCATAATTAACAATTGTGCAAATAATTTCAGAACAGTAAACAATATTGAGTTATTGTATCTCAAAGAATTGAAATGTTTTTGAACTTGACAGCTGTCCCCGCGTTTCGACGTTACTCGATCGCTCAACGAAATAGTAGCGAAATGTTAACGAAATTTCGATAAGCAAAGTATCTTGCAGATACTGAGTTCACAGTTTATTGCTTGCATTTTCAGCGGAATTTAGCCGCAGCTCCAATTGCATGTAATAAAGATAAGCGCCGTGGAGCAATGTGGGTGGGAAATACTTTCATTTGGCAATTGTGACGGTTCCGCGTTTTGGTGTTAGAACGCATTGCGGGGAGCCAAAAGCGTAAGTGGAGCACAGCAAATTGAGTGACTGGTAAAGAAGTAGCAAGGCCAAAGCCTGACCTAGCGTAAGGTTGGCACCGTTATCACTAGAACCGGGAAACGTATTGTTTACCTTTTGTATGTGAGTATTACAATGACTTACTGATTACAAAAGATCGAAACTATTATGTAAAATTTATCTTAGTTCATTATACTGTAAATAACTATAATTTGGGTAACCTTAAAGTTATCTCATCTGTAAGTTTTCGTCATACACTGAATGATTTTATCTAATAATAGATATGGTAAGAGAAATAGAAGCATTATATATAATATATAATATAAATGTAATGATACTTGTAGTTAATCTGAATCAATTCAACTGGGAGCTCAATGATGGTACATTGAGTCACAATGAAAGTAATCGTAAGTAAAGCTTCCTTTTCCCTGGTAGCTTTGACGGCATTATAAGGGGCAACTAATATCTTACCCTAGCGTAACCTATTTTGAAGTAAGCTGCATGTAGTATTTATTAATGGAAAATCGAATGGGCTGAGAAAAATCCGAACGAATATGGTCAAGTTATAATTTATCGGAAGGGAAACTTATATTGCGAAAATATCATATTGGCAGAATTCGTATCGATGTTGATAGATCACTGGCCAGTAAATCGGAAGTATCTAAGTCATTTCAGACTTTTAGACTTTAGATATCATTTATCACGGGATTCAATAAATGTTTGATATAAACGGCTATATATATTATTAAGAATTTTAAATAAGCGTAGGTGTTGTAGTATATTTAATGAAGTGTTGATTAATAATATGGGTGGATTTCAGTTTTCTAATTGGTGATCAGTTCATAATTCTATGGAAGAGTTTTTCAAATATTATACTTTCGCAACAATAACTAACATAGATGGCGTGTTTACTTGACGAGTATTTTTAAGTAAAAATATTTAACTTTAAATTCCGATATTTCGAAATATGTCTTCATTAACATATTGCTTAATAAAAAGATTTGTTCAAAGTATTTTATTAAAAATTTATTTGAATCAAAAGTTTAATAAGCGTGCTTGGTAAATCGGTATCGTGTTAACTTCTTTATTAGGTGATTATAATATAAGTATAAATTTCTGATGTAATAATCTATATGAATAGTACAGAAGATTTCAGATATTTTAATATCAAATAATGCATGTATTTATTGATGGAGTTCTTAAAAAAGTGCTATTACTATTACCCAGAGTATAGGTACCTGACATGAGCGATAACTATAGGCAGTGATTTTGACGTATGCAGCAAAATGATTAGCTTAGATTTGTGGTTTCTCATTGTGTCATGATCTCAGAAGACTCGACGATTATTCTCATCCTCACATTAAAATATCAAAATTTTTTTTAGAATTAGAAGAAGAAACAGACTTTTCTGATAAGACTCATTTTGCATTTAAATGATTTTCTTAATTCCACATATGTTCCAATATATATGTGTTATCAAAACTATGTCTATAATTCGTTTGTCTCTAATGCTGTTATACTCGCGTACGTCATTAATATACTTTTCATTTATATTTAAAATTCTAAATCTGTTCCGAATATTTATTGATTACGAGAAACGAGTGAAATACATAACGCGGTATAAAAAGTTACTACGATAAAAATGCAAAGCTGTAATTAAGCAATTAAATTTAAAACACTCTAAATCCGAAAGTGTAGTAGTAAATATGAAACTTAACAAAAACAAAAATAAAAACAAAAACGAAAAATAATCGTTAAAAGATATTATATGAAAAATTGTGTAAAGCTCTAATTGAGTTTAATAAAAACGCAAACGTGCAGCAAAAACCAACTAAAACCCATTTTAGATGAAGAGGCGATCAAATAGAATGAATAGCGCTGGCAGCACAAATTACATATCAAGCAGCGCCTAAATGTAGGCTGCAGCTTTTTACTACATTTTATTTTCAATGCGATTCGGACTTTTTTTCTAGTTGAAGCAAAGCACTCAAAAAATGAAAAAATAATAAAAATAAAAAAACAAAAAAAAAACAAAAAAACAGGCGAAGCAACATTAATGCAAACCGCAGCAAAAACCTTTAACCAAACATAAAAGCTCCCCTGTCTCCCTCACAAGCATAGAAACAAGTACCTAACAATTTACTCTGCAAAAATTATCAAACTAAACCTATTGCAGATGCTGCTACATTTGTTGTTAGTGCGCACTACATTGTTGTTGGTGCGGCTGTAACGTTTTACTGTTTTACTACGAATTTTTAATTACCTTTTACAACAACAACAAAAACTAAAAAAACTAACATTTTTCTCATATTGTTTGTTGTTGTTGTTGTTGTTGTTAGTGCTAATGTTGTTTTTGTTTTAGCGTTTACTATTAAGTTTGGGGCTGTGCTTTTGTGGTTTTACCACTCACACGCATACATAAGCCAACACACAAACACACAGACGCAGCACATATGCACTCACACTTAACAGTTTTTCACCAATCAGCTTAACGCACAATTGTGGGTTGTAAGTGTGGTGTTACGCACTTTTTGTGGATAGCTTCATCGTGTGGTGTTTGCCTGTGTGTTTATGTGTGCGTTTGCATGCATATAGGGTAGTGCATAGGGACAGGACAGTGTGCCGTTGAGTTGTGAAGTCTGTGTGAAGTAAATAATGTGCTCCGTTGAATGGTTGCAGTGCATAAATAATTAATTGGCGGAAAAGTAGAATAGCGATTGGTGGAAAATTTGTGCTATTTTTGTTATTAGAAAATTACGAAGTTAGCATTTTTAATGCAATATTTTTTATGGAGATTAGGTTTTTAGTAGTTCATGCATATAACTTTTTTCATTTGCTATTCCTCTGCATGTGATATATTTAAATGGTAAGTGCACTGGAAAAAATTGTTCATATTCAAGTGAATAAGAATTTTTGATTTAGATTGTTATAATATTAATAACAAGGGATAAGAAATATTCTAATATTTTTTAAGATATTAAATGAAATTAATTTATTTTCATTAGATTTTCTATACAATATATATATTCGATTTGGAAAAAAAAATTGTAACAAAGTAAAATGAATTATTACTTTACTAAAGATATTAGTGATTGATCAAGTTTATAAAGTTATTTTTTTTGAATTATTTTGTTTCTTTTAAATACAATTATGAAAATTTTAATTTTAAAACTTCGGTTTAATGTAATATCAAGATTTTGTGAATTTACTATATAAGTTGTTTTGTTGGAATCATAAAAGATAATGGCATGCTCTCTCAAAATAGTTATCTCCATAATATTGTAGATCATGACGCAAACATTTTTAGTATAAAATTGTAACTTTTAATATTAACTTATATACAAATCTATACAAATCATAATTAGCAGAAGAAGCAGTTTTTAACTATATAAACAATTTAATAGTTTTTCAAATTAATTATGGTATACAAATTAATAGAATTTTTCAAAATAATTATATAAAGGTAACATTATTTTTGATATATTAAAATACATAAGCAATTAGTTGCACTTTATTTATACATATTAAATACTCAATTTATATTTGTTTATTTAATCAACGAAGAATGTTCAGTTCAGAATGCAAAAAAATAATTTGCTAATAAACAACAACAAAAACAACAACAACAACAACAACAATAAAAAATCATAAATTAATTGCATAAATGTACGCGCACATGTGGGTTGGCTTTAGGAGCTGTAACCTCCCATTTTTAATTAACTTAACACACAAACTGCGCTGCCTCACTCAATGATTAACATAAGCATGTAAAAAATTAATAAATTTTCTGCACTCACTCCCTCCCCAAATCCGAATCTGAATCCGAATTCGAATCCAAATCCAAACAAAATAAAAATATTTGCCACATTAAGACAAAATGAGATGGCACTATCTCATTACTCATTTCGCATGTATGAAGACAAAACCGCTCAACTTAGGCAACATAGCACAACTACAAATTTTCATTTCTACAATTGTGTGCAAAAACAAAAACAAAACCAAAAAAAGCAAAACCAAAAAAAAATATAAACTAAATTGGTATAAAAATACATATGAACAACAACAACAACGACGACGACGACAACGAAAAAATTAAGCAAAAAATAAACATTTGCTTTTCCCTACCACATCACACTCAATACAAACAAATGCGTTAATAAGAAACACATATGCGGAAAATGGTGAAAAACATCATCGCATTTTCCACTTACAAATGTGAGTGAGTAGAAAATTTAAACGGTATCTATTCACATACAAACTAACGCACATAAAAGAACGTCAACGTCGCTGCTCTGCTACGGCGGCAATCAGCCAATCAAAAAATTTGTTTACGAATAGTAGCAAAAAGCAGAAAATAAGCAGAAAAAACTTTGCAATGAACACATTTTTTCTTATGTCGCTTTTCGCCCATTTTTTTACACATTTCATTTTCGCTGCACACACAATGAAAAACGAAAAAACACGTGTTCTGCTTTTGGTGCTGCTGCTGCCGCTGCCGCTGCTGCTGCGTTAGCTTCTCAGCTTCAATGTAAAAATTGCAGAAGAGTAAAATAATTTTCTTTGTAAGTAGCTTTTGGCCGCTGAGAGAGAGACAGAGAGAAAAAGCAGCGAACAGGTTTTTCTTTACAAAATTTTGCGCTCTTAGTTTTGTTTAGCGATAAAGAGTAAATATTTTAGTTTGTTATTGTTTTTTTTTAATTATTTTCTTCAAGCTTCGCTTTTGTTTCGTTAAATATTTAGCATTTGTAGTTTATTTGGGCTTTAGCAGTGCAGCGGCAATGGATTGGCACTGTTGATAGGTATTTTTATTGAAAAATTAAAAAATATGTCAAATGTTTGTGAGATTTTATTTTTCATGATATATAAATTTTTTTATTTAGTAATTTGTTGAATGTTAATACATATTGTATTGATTGAAAATAGTAAGTAAATTTTTTTAACAAAACAAATACGAACATCTGGACCTTTACTAAAGACAGGAGAATGACAACAAAAATCTGAAATAACCATATCTTTTGATCTATTAATCTATCAAAAGCTTTAATAAAAATATTTACTTCTTTATAATAAAATTATTCAGGAATATTAAAAGTCAGCCTAGCGAACATCACTGAACTTTATTCTTAATATTAATTTATTATTAATCAATAAATATAATATATGTCATTGATATATGGTACATGGGCCTACCCGAATGGAGTATAGGCCGGTTAAGAACAAATGGGACAGGAGTGATTTCTACGCTGGGTGATATGGTCTACTACACTTTATCTTTATATATAATGAAATGTACTCTTGTTTGCTTAGTACCCGATACTTAGAGTCTAGAATTATTTAACTTGAATACTAACCATTTAAGCTTAACACCACGGTGTTCTTTCACACATATCAGTATAATTCGCTGATTACCGTCGCATTGGAGTTTCAAGAAATTTCGCCTGCACCAATTGAAGCTTTACGTTTGGATATAGTTTATTTCTAAGAAGAGAGCGTTCACATCTCAGCTGTTCTTTGGGTCACAGTACCGTTTTGGAAAATGCAGCTCCAAACCGATTAAAAGTAAGTAAATAAAATCATTCTTCCAGCATACCTTTGGGTTTTAACTACAGTCACCACGATACCCCCATATTGTCAGTCTCTATTGGTCAGGATAATGGAAGCTGTGAGCATTGATTCTCGTGGAATTAATCATTATCACATCTTGACCGTCTTACTATCGTGAAATCACTCTGAGCATTATCGGGTGGTGCCTAATAGATTTTTGTCGCCTCTAATAAGCATGACTTACCTCAAGAGTATTCTAGCCTTTATTCCGATGGTGTGAATGCTAAAACAATAGTACGCTACAGTAGTTAGGAACGCAATTCTAATAAGAGAAACAAGGATAACAACAAAAACGAGGAT